AAAAAAAAAAAAAAAAAAAAAAAAAAAAAAAAAAAAAAAAAAAAAGGCATTGGCAACTACTGTAACAAATAAAATGTTGAACTACTAAAATTATAACAAACTGAAATAAAAAATAAATCTAAATAGAAATATATATAAAAAAAAAAAACTAAAATATAAAAGAAAACTCAAAATAAAAAAAATTATAAAAAATAAATACTACAATATTCAAAATAATTTTGAATAATACTAAAATAACACTGCAATAAATGAAACAAAAAGTGATGACTATATGTATAAATTATATATTAATTAATTAATATATATTTACACACACACAGTAAAGAAAGATACAAATATTTATATAACTCTCTCTCTTTCTCTGAGCATGTTTATTTGGCTAAAGGTAGAGGGTGCTAATGAGTTTCATATGAGATATCAATAAGCCAACAATCCAACTAGTCCAGCCCTTATATCTGAGTAAACATTTAAATATCCTCATATCAGTCATTTTATGCTTGCTTTTCATTTTTCCAAACAGAAAATGGGTTCTGTTGACCTGCAGGTGACCTCTAGACCAGGTGTGACTGCTAAACAGGAAGCGAGAGATGAAAGCAGGAAACCGGGTATGATTTCAGAGCCAGACGTCAATGAGCATAAACATGATTAAAGGGAAAAAATATATCTAATGTTTTTTATACAGTGGCCCAAAAAATATTTGGATACTTAAAAATGTCTAAATAATGTCTAAATGCATTTGTGCTTTAAAATAAACTGCACTTGCTTTGATATTTTATAATTTAATGCAATGAAAGAGAGAGAATGATAGATATACAAATTTAGAAAGTGATTTTTTTTAAGTGAGTGCATTTGTGCTTTAAAATAAATGGCACTTGCTTTGATATTTTATAATTTAATGCAATGATAGATTTTTTTTCTTAAGTGTGCAGATATTTTTGGGGCCACTCTTCCACACTTAAGAGGGAAAACCTGTAAACTTACTGAAATTCTTATGTAGATGATCTATTTCACTGCTCTTATTGTGTGTTTTTATTGCTGTGTCAGCAGAATTCAGCCCAAAGAGAATTCCAGAGCCACATGAAAAGCCAATACAGCATGTCAGCACTTTAAAACCAGGTGAGTCACTGTCCTCAGGCGCAGCGGGCCACGCACACGCCCCTGACCCACACCGAATCAACCAAAGCCTCTAATTTACCTGTGCTTTACCGTCTGTGTTCAGGCAATGATGAAAATTCTGTGGTCTTTTACTCACCCTCATTTTGTTCAACCTGTCTGACGTTTCTTCTGTGAAACACAAAGGGAGATGTTTAGCAGAATGTTCCAGGTCCTCTTTTCAATATAATGCAAGCAAATGGATGCTGTCTAGCTCAAAAAAATGATGCATAGAAGCTATATAAAGGTAGCATATGACATACGCACTAGATTCCAGGTCTTCTCATGCCATCAGGTGGTTTTATGTCAAAAACAATTTGTTATTTGTTGAAAATCTTCCATACGTCTGAAGCACAAGATCACATATTTTCAAATTTAACACATGAAAATAGGCTGCACCAGGTTTGTAATCAGTGAAAAATTCCACTTGCTTTGGTATTTTATTATCCAGTGCAGTGACATTTAGATCTTTCGTAAGTTTCTTCAATGTCTCCGGTGCACAAATATTTTGGGGGCCAATCTTCCATACTTCCAAATGCAATGTAAACTTACTGTTATTGTTATTTCACTGCTCTTATTGTGCTATTTTATTTCTCACAGCAGAATTCAGCCTGATAGAGAATTCTAGACCTGCAGGAAAAGCCAATACAACAATACAAACAAACAAATGTGACCCTGGAGCACAAAACCAGTCTTAAGTCGCTGGGGTATATTTGTAGCAATAGACAAAAATACATTGTATGGGTCAAAATTATTGATTTTTTTTATGCCAAAAATCATTAGGATATTAAGAAAAGATCATGTTCCATGAAGATATTTTGTAAATTTCCTACTGTAAATATATTAAAACTTAATTTTTGATTAGTAATTTGCATTGTTAAGAACTTAATTTGGACAACTTTAAAGGTGAATTTCTGTAATTTGCATTGTTAAGAACTTAATTTGGACAACTTTAAAGGTGATTTTCTGAGTATTTTAATTTTTTTGCACCCTCAGATTCCAGATTTTCAAATAGTTGTATCTCGACCAAATATTGTCATATCCTAACGAACCATTCATCAATGAAAAGCTTAATTATTCAGCTTTCAGATGATGTATAAATCTCAATTTCGAAAAATTGACCCTTATGACTGGTTTTGTGGTCCAGGGTCACAAATAAATAAGACCGATTTAGTGTGTTATTTTAGTATTATGTATATACTATTTAGTATTTAGTTTTCTTTTTAATTTTAGTTTGTTTTAGTTTTAAGTTTTTTAATATTTCTATTGAGCTTTCATTTATTTTACTTACGTTTTAATTTTAATAATTTTAGTACTTCAACTTGTTGCCTCCTTAAAGGAATATTTTACCCAAAAATTAAAATTTGCTGAAAATGTTCACCCTCAGTCCATGAAAGATGTAGATGAGCTTGTTTCTTCATGGGAACAGATTTGGAGAAATGTAGCATTACATCACTTGCTCACCAATGGATGCTCTGCAGTGAATGGGTGCCGTCAGAATGAGAGTCCAAACAGCTGACAAAAACATCACAATAATCCACAAGTTATCCACATGACTCCAGTCCATCAATTAATGTCTTGTGAAGTGAAAAGCTGCGTGTTTGTAAGGAACAAATCCATCATTAAGGCGTTTTAACTTTAAACCATCGCAAAATATGAGTCCATGTTCCATAATAATGCTTCCTCCAGTCAATAAAATCAATACCGTCCAAACAATACCATCTGAAACAAGACAGCTGAATAGCTTGTTATATTCCTTATTTATAAGTCTGCTAAATGAATGAATGCAAATTTGAGAACTAACCACGGTGATACCGGTATTACCGGTGTTGTCACATGTCGATTAACCGGTGGGAAAATTTCCTCACCGTCACAACCCTACTACGGAGGGAAATTTTGGTCTGTTTCTCCGCCTGACATATCATATGACTGCTTGTAACAAAGTTTATTAGTCATATGAGCTATTTTTTGGGTGCTTTTTTGAGCTCAAGAGTGCTTGTTCCCATTTATTCCCAATGTATGGAAAAGGGCAGCATGAACAATCTGCAAAACATCTACTTTTGTGTCCCACAGAAGAAAGTCAATTGTGTTTGCCGCAACACAAATAAATAATGACAGAATTTTCTTCTCTCAGGCTGAATTATCCCTTTAAGAGACCTATGGTCAGATGGTTCATGATTAAAAACAGACCAATCATTACTCTCTCTTGGCAAATCAGCTCTTGTGGTCTTTAGATCAGGTTGAAGTCATATTTAGCGAGTATATCACTCTAGCAGAGGCCTGTTTGTTATTTTCTCTCATGATGGGTGTGACGTTATGAAGTAAAACCCCTCAGCGCCTCAGGGTGTGGACACAAAGCCCGTTATATCCACAGCACTGACCTTTTGTTCTAATATTTCATGCAGTCTGCTCTGATCCAATAACAGCTCATATTTATTAAAGTGCCCAGATCCCTGGGCGTTCACAAATAATCCTGCACTTTATTACTTCAATTTGAATGCAATGCTGCTTCCAATATGGTTCTTATGAAATCCTTTTTCCCCCAGTGTTGGTAGAAAAGAGAATCAAAGTTGATATTGAGTCTTCGTCAATGCCCCAGTGCATGATGGGATAGGAGACAAAGGCCCGTTTGAGGTGTTAACTGCAGCTGTAGGTGTTCAAGGCCTGTTTCAGATGCTATTGTTTGGATAGTATCGATGCTCTCGAGTGTGTTTGATGTTTTAGTGTTACGATTCAGTGTTTCTGCTGAGAAGTCAAATCTTTTGGCTAGAGAGAGCAGTTCAGTTTAGGACCGGCTTAAAACTTCTCTAGATGACAGGTAATAACATTTTTTTTTTTGGTGTTCTTGGTGAAGTCTGATGCTTTTGTTTGGCTTTTAAATGAAATGAATAATGTTTCTCTTTAGGATTTGGTCAGTTTTATTGCAGAAAGAATACTTTTACTTTGTAACTGAGTACTTAACATACAAATGTTTTACAGATTCGCCACAAGAACTTGATGCAAACATGAAGTCAAGAACACGGCCCAGGTAAAATCTTTTTAAACTCTCACTACTGCTACAGTGTGGTTTTTTTTTTTTTTTTTTTTTTTTAAGAAATTAATACATTTATTCAGCAAAGACATAATAAATTTATCAAATTTGCCAGTAAAGACACTTACAGAGTTACAAAAGATTTCCATTTCAAATAAATAAATTTTTTTAACTTTCTATTCATCAAAGAATCCTGAAAAGAATGTATCATGGTTTCCATAAAAATAGCTGAGAACTGTTTTCAACATTGATAATAATAAAAAAAAATTTTTTTTTTGAGCAGCAAACCAGTTTATTAGAATAACTTCTGAAGGATCATGTGACACTGAAGACTGGAGTAATGATGCTGAAAATTCAGCTTTGCATCACAGGAATAAATTACATTTTAAAATGTATTCAAATAGAAAACAGCTATTTTAAACTATAATAATATTTCACAATTTTACATTTGTTTCTATATTTTTGGTGAAATCTATTTATCCTTTGTGAGCATAATAGAGATCTTACAAAAAAAAAAGTCTTACTGACCTCAAACTTATTATTATTATTATTATTATTTTTTTTTTAATTAACATAAAATCTTTTTGGGGCTTTTACCATAGTACCATGGAGTTCTTTGAAGTACTTAAAGTACCATGTAAATACTATGGTACTGTACATGGTAGTCATTCCATTCTATAGTATATATCAAAGTACCACTTTTTCTTGCTGTACCATGATACCACTACATTACTTATTTCTTCATGTACAGTGTTAAAGACGTCTATATGTGTGTTTTACCCCGCAGGTCATATTCCAGCACCTCCATAGATGATGCCATGAAGAAGGTGGAGGAGCCTCCCACTCCTCCTCCTCGACCCCAGAAGACTCACTCCCGCGCCTCCTCTCTCGACCTCAACAAGCTCTTCCAACAGAGCGGTCAATGTTCACGCCCATCCCAGCATTCTTTGAGTATTTAACCGTTTACACGCACAGACTTTCATATACTGAGAATACAAAGCACAGACATTTATATATATTACATTTATTGCATTCATGTTAATTTAAGTAAATATTTGACTGGTGTGTCGATGCGGTATTGGCGTGTGTTGGCGCATTTGAGATTGAAGCAACATTAACTGTGTGGCTACTTTCAGTGCTGCTTTTGCAAATGCAGTAACAGGATTCCCTTAGAAAATATTGAAAGTTTATTCTTAAAATGTGGGCAAGTGACGTAACCGGTGTTGCGGCTTAACACCGTCAGCACCGTATATCGTGGCAAGCCTAGTATGAAGCCGCAGGATCACACAATGGGAATAATACACTACCATACCAATTTTTGAAAATAGCTTTGACAAGAAGACTGTTTGATTGGAAATCATGTTGCCTTTGTGGTGGTAGTTGTGTCTTGTCTGGTTTTGAACGGTAGTATATATATTCTCAATAAATTATTATTATTATTATTATTTTACTACAGCAGTGTGTGTGATTACTTCTCAATTGTCTGTACTTTAAATATTTTAGTAACTAAGCTGTGCAAAAAAATTATGATTATTGTAGTACATGGTGGATGTGAATTGTTTTATTTACATCTTGTTGTGCTGAATATGCTTTAGTAGTGGTAGCAGTTTTAGAGTGGCGAGGAAGTTTTTCTGAATAGCTTTTCCTCTGTCAGGTGCTAAAAGTGGCTGGTTGCCTCCTCCTCCAGCTCTCCCTCCACGACCACCAGCTACACAGGTGAACTGCTCAGGATCTCCTCATTTCAAGTATTTCCTGATGGCCAGTCCAGTTTAAGCTGCCATGTGTGCTTTAAAACATGGTAGCTGGTTTCTAGCTTGCCATCAGCTGTTTGACCAGCTTCCATGCTCCAAAACCCAACTTGACCTTATGCTGGTCTGTTACTGGTCAAAAATGATCTATTTTTGTTTTTTTGGTGCATTAATATGGAATTTAATTGATATGCAGTTTTTGTCAGCTGTTTTACAATGGTTTCAAACATGGCTCATCCAATTAGATTATAGGTCTGTTTCATGCAGTGGTTAATTTTTTTATTTTTTTTTGGTACTTTACCATTCTGTTACTGTGTTGTATTATAACTTGTGTTATAATTCAATGTCTCAGATCTTCAGCTTCCTCCCTGGCTCAGAGAAGAGTTCCCAGAAGGCCGTTCAGCAGCCAAACTTTGCAGATTTCAGCAAGTATAGGGAGGAGGTGAGTAGATGTTCACATTGATCCTACTGACAAGTAAGGCATTACTAACACTACTAAAACACACACAATTTAATAACCTCAGATGTGGGATCACTAAACTGGCATGTGATCAACATGAACCGAATTTAACTTCTGATGTGTCATTTCCAACTGAAACAGAATATCCATCTGGGATATTGTAGGGTGGGGCTTGATTTAAATTAATTTTGAATTATTGTTAATATTTTTGTAAACAGTAAATTTAATTTTATAATAAATGGATTGTATACAGTAACATTTTTATTAATTGTATTTTAAATAAAAATCATATAAATTATTATTAGTTTCGTACTTAAGTATTTTGTACTTATTAAGATTTTTGTATTTTGTATTTATTAAAATAAATCCAAGATTGTGAGAGAATTGTAATTGTTTTGAATGAATTTTGCATTAATTTGATTTTTTACACTTAATCTCATTTTTAAAATAAGAATTTTAAGAATATGTAAGAATGAGGAAATTTTAATTGATTTTAATTTATAATATTTAATTTAAAGTATTATTAATTTTGTACTTAAATATTTTGTAATTATTAAAATAAATCAAAGGTTGTGTGAGAATTATTATTGATTGGAATTCATTTTAAATTACTTGTATTTTTTAAATGGATGAGGACATTTGAATTCATTTGAATTTATAATTTTTAATTATTATTATATAACTTATTTAACTGATCATTTAATATATGGCTCAATCAGTGTTATGAAGTTAAGATAATTTGAATGTTTTGTTTTTAAGGTTATTTATTGGGATTCTGGTCTGATCAAATACTCATAACTCAGCTGAAGTCCTCAAAAGCCTTAAAATGTCTCGTACCACAAGCCTTCTTTCATCTTTATGGCCTTTTTACCCCTTCATGCTTTTAACTTTTGGCTTCTGTAAAGGTATGAGAGGGAATGTGATCACTGTGTGAAATTCATTTGTCATAGATGTGTGAGTTATGGGTTTCATGAGGTTATTGTTGGACAGAGAAACACAGTGTCTTAATCAGGCACGATCTGACAAGTGAGTTTCTAAAACCCAGCAAGTCGCCTTTCTAGACTGCATTTGAAGGCACATACCTTCCACTAATCTCTGATAAATCTCT